ATTCTATAAATCAGGGGGTGCTTTATTTCCTTTGCGCTTTCCTTGTTCTATTTCATAGGTGGGGACAGGCTGACATCAGCAAGGCATGTCAGCATTGGTTAGCTGCTTCCATATATGGACAGAACAAGGGCATTGTTGGCACAGCAATCCCTGATTCATGGGTGTGAGCAATGTTGCTACGGCCTTCAGTGTAGTTGCTATGCTATCAGCTCCTTGGGATTTCTCTTCTCTATAAAGACAGCATAGGAACTAGCGCTGCATCAGCAACATGTTAGGACCCAAGAACAGGACTGTACAATACTAATTGCAGAATTTCAATTCAGGTGGGTAGCTGTGTTGGTCTGAAGCAGCAGAACAAAGTTTGAGTCCAGTGGCACTTTTAAGACCAACAAAGTTTTATTCTGCATATAAGCTTTCGTGGGCATACACGTAGGTCCTGTAAGGATAACAGAACACAAGAGATGTTGCGAGAAGCTTAACATAACATCTCTTCCCCCCCCCCTCTTTTGGAGCCACGTTCCATATCAAGCTGCGTTTCTTGAATTGTTTTAGTCAACTTTTAATTTCCCTTAGAACTAATTTGATCTAAAGGTGGGGTATAACACTTAAAAGCAAAGACATGCCCTTGTTGATTTTAAACAAATAAATATTTATATTTCAAGTAGCTTACCTATTCACAGAGAAAGGCTATTTTATAAAACACAGAAGTAAATAAAATGTAAAAGGGAAGATGAAGCACTTGCATCTAGGTTATGACGGAGAAGAGAATACCTGGAAAAGAGTAGGCTGGAGAATGGGATTCTATTCCTAAATCCTTCCCTTACCTGAGACTTCTATGGATCAGTACTGACTAACACAGTGATAAGATGCTGTATAGAAATATGGATTTCTAAAAAACCCTGTCTTCCCCTGGAATGCCTCTTGCTGATACCCTGCTGTGTTGATTTCCTATTGAAGCCATATGGTCTCAATAGCCTGCCATATAACCCTACATTCTTCACACTCCCTGGCTGGCAGAAGACCAGATGGCCTAGCAAACAAGCAAACAGTCACGTAGGCCATGGGTGGGTTGGAATTTGGGGGGCACATGACTGCAGGTGTGCCCTTCAGAGCTCTGACCATTCAGATGATGTCCCCATGGCAACCCTACAATTGGACACTCCCATGTCTACTCCAATTGGCCCCTGGCCAGGGCTAGTTTGGAGACTGGGATTGCCCTATATCTGGTCAAACCCTATGGAGAGAACTCTCTCTTCTGTTCCTGCTATCCCTGCTGCTCTGTATGCTGTCCATCTGAGATGCTGTGCTGCCATGTGGTCTATGGCAGAGACAAAGAACTGCTTTGGAGCTGAGCACATGGCTGGATGCTTGCACAAAGATGGGACCTAACTGAACTTTATCACAATGGACAATCAGGGACTATGGATTTCTGAAGTTGGTAATTATGCATATCTCTAATGTTTAGTTAGGGCCAAGGGCCATGAGTTTTTGTTATTTTGCAATCCTTCTAGTCTGTGCTAAGTTCTCTACTGAATAAATTTATTCTGGTTTTCTAATTTGTCTGTATTGTGGTAACTGGACTTCAAGCCTTTTTCCTGTGCCTGCTGCTCGCCAAACGGCGCTACCTTGGTAAGATTAACTGCACAGCTCTAGATTGAGCTGCTATTGTATAAAGTCCTAGAGGCCAGTTAAGAGTCTGAACCTTGCTCTTGGACTGGAATGGGACTATAGTTAAAAAAGGTTCTGGTGGCTATTGTCTTGAAATCCAGAGAGCCTACATCTCTGGGTGATTGAGTAATGTATTGAGCCAGTGTAGAGTTCTTCCCCTCATCCCTGGACTGGCCTGGGGGGGGGGGGGCAGAATCTATACAGACGCTATGCACCTGAAGATGTGTAACACCACCAATGACTTGTACAGTTTGTGTACCCTTAGTCACAGAAAGTATGCAACTAATAACTTTCCAATAGCTTAGCAAATGTAAGGGAAAAGATTACAAACTTCACCACAACTTTTCATGTGGGGAGTTTCAAGAAGTCACTAGTATTTATGCCAATAAAGGCTAACTGAAACTGAAGTCACTAGTATTCAGCCTTATACATGCTTACTTTACAACCTTTTTATTTCAGGTAACTAATAGAACACTGCATCACATCACCTCAATGAACAGAAACCCAAAGCTTCATGAACCAATACTTATAAAAGTGAATTAGCCTAACTTAGGGAAAAGAACACCCATCTCTTTTGTCATTTCAACTATGACAGAAACCCACAATAATTTAACTTGTTTAGTATGAGCCTGGAGCTGTGTATTTAATGGTAAGGAAAGCACTTCAGGTCATATGGAAACAATCCAAATCAGGTTTTTGGAGACTGAAAGAATGTCACTAGAAGTCTGGATTGTCACCACTTTAAACTACTAGCACGTTTTCAGTGTGTCCTACTGACCTGAATGGCCCAGTCAAGCCTGATCTTGTCAGATCTCAGAAGCTAAGCAGAGTCAACCCTTGGACGGGACATCAGCCAGGAAGCCCAGGGTGTTGTTTTTCCCCCTCTTTTAACACACAAATGTTAACACAAATAAATACAGGGGAATTGAAAAAATTAAACACTTATAAGAATTTATTGTCTAAATAATTAATTGTTCAATATTTTTATGCTCCTACCATGCTGTAAACAAGTTAATTTAATCGTCTTTTATTTTCCCTGCCCATAACTGCATATTCAGAAAAGGTTGTTTCCAGTATCTTGTTTAACACCAGATGTGCCAATGTAACTACATTTAAGAGAATCAACTGAAATTTCCTTAAGACCATTGACATGCAATTAAGTCCTTAATGGTAAATCTATTTTGAGTCCAAATTTTATCATTTTAAATTTTTATGCCAAAATTCACTTGCATATGACATCACCACATATGAATGAAATCAGCATTATGGTTCTTACAGTACCAGCATTGATACCTGATTTGTAGACAGACAGACATATTTATTGCTTGTGGCCAAAGGCCGTCACAAAAGGGAATAAGAATATAGTGGTAAAAAGTCAATCATAATTACAAGAATGGTTTAAAAAATTATTAAAAGTAAAATGCAGTTAATTAATTAATTACAAATATCAATATACAGTAAAATTATGAACCCCGAAGATATATCTGGTTAATCATCAGATTAAATCTTGGCTAAGGTGACACTAATGTCTCATCTTCATTATGTTCTCTTGAAGTAACAGACAGAAAAGTTGGAGCCATATGAAAAGGTAGAATTCCAAATTTCATCTGGAATCACATAGCCTAGAGCTTTGTTTCACTTCAGGAATTGGAGCTCACTCTAGCACCCTATTAAATGCACCACACTGGTTCTGAAGCAGTATTGAGAGGAGATTCCGAAACACACCTTTGAATTTATAGTTGTCAGATCTAACAGTAAAATACAAAGCATACTGAAAACATTTGAAACATGGGATAGCCACTGCAGTCTGCTGCTCTAAAACAAGGAATTACTAATTCCGAATTAGCCTCCCTGGCAAGGCTGCCGAAATGTTGTTATACTTCATAACTATGACAGAAATCTGGGCTTGAGAGTAGGGTTGCCAACTGTCCTGGAGAAAACTGTCCTGTGCTTTTAAGAGACTGAGATATTATTTACCTCTATGTCATGAAAATCGTCAGCTGCCTATTTCCATAGATCCGCCCCCTCCCCCCTCCGCTAGCTGGCCACCCTACGTGTACAGAAGGGGGAAAGGAGAAGTGACTAAATTCAAGCGACAGGTAGCCTAAAAAAAAAATCCCCCGGGGGGGGGGGGGATACAAAAAGAGTCTCTATGAAGGATAACATTTAATACCACTGAATTGCGGTCACGCTTACTTGGGCCGAGAGACCGTTGCGCGGGAGACGGGGTGGCCTGTGGCAGCACAGCACTGTAATGTACTCCCCCACCCCATCCCCGTTTGGGAATGTAAAGGGCCAGGGCCATTAGTCATCATTCCCTGCGATCTGAGGAAACAGTGAGCACGTCGCCTCAGAAGAGTTTCCTCTGCCCATGATACGGCAAGACCGAGCTTGTTCTCGACGCAGTGGCCGAGGCGCCTCTATGAACAGGGCGAAGGGAGCGGGGGGGGGGATACCCTCCCCTTCGAAAGTGGGGGGGGGTGGATGCGGTGGCCCCCGAGCCCCCTCCTCTCCGGCTGCCGGCGTTACCTTTGTGTTCGTCGTCCAAGTACCGGACTCGCAGCTCCTCCTCCTCCCCCCCTTTCGCCGCCTCAGAGCTGTATCCCCTCACGGCCGAACAGCACCGTCGCGCCAGAGAGGACGAAGAGGAGGAGCCGGAGAGAGCAGCTGCAGCCGCTGCAGCTAAACCACCTCGACGCTGAAGAAGGCTTAAGGCCACCGAGGCTGCGGATACCGCCGCCATGTCTGTTTACAAGCCCGCGCACCGAGCCAGGCAGCCCCCTTGCCTCCGTCCCCCCTCCCCGCGCTTCCCAGTGGAACCCCACGTGACTCTTACGTACAGCCGGCGACGTGGAGCCGTCCCGCGGTGTACCTGGAACGGCGTGCCATTTCACTGAACGCGAAGAGGAACGTTTGTCCGCGCCCCCCCCCCCCGGCGCTCAGCCTTCCTTCTGCAGGCAGCTACGGGCGTCTATAGGAGTTGGCTGCTTTCTAGGAAATCTTTCCGGTATTAGTGAAAGCCTGAACAATTTATTACATAACACATTGCGGGTGTAGCCCTATGAAATCGTTCACGGAAGTAAGGTTCATTGAATTAAATAGGTGGACTGACTTACTTTCAAGTAGGCCTGATTAAAATTGTTTCTTTTATTATGAAATTAAGGGCACCCTTTTGGTGTGAATGAACAAAACATTTCTGACAGCAAACACTGCAGAACTCAGCAGCAAGTTTTCCTTCCCTGTGATCTTCAAAACAAAACCCCAAAAAGCTCTCCAGGTCCATACCTAACTATCTCTCCATGTTTTAATCCATAGATTGATTTTAAACTACCGGGTTCTGATTTTAAACTACTGGGTTCATTTCTACTTTGCATGTCTCCACCTTTTCTGCCTGGCACTTTTAACTTTTCTTTATAGAAGAAAGGAAGAGCCTTACTGGTCTGGATGAGGATCTGGAGGCATCTGCCTTCCCCAAAGAACAAAATCTCTAAATCTGCAGTTTCCATTTAGTTTATAGATGTGTCAACAGACAGGACTCCATTCAAAATAAAATAGAAATCCAGTGGCACTTTAAAGACTTAACAAAATTTATTTTCGCATAAGCTTTCATAAATCAGAGCTCACTTTATCAGCTGCATGAACTCTATCCATTTATATGAAAAGCAGCTAACAACAAAAAGGTGGGGGATGGGTGAGAAGGATGTTACAAAGAGAGGCCAATTTAAAATAAGATCCAATCAAAAAAGTAATGTCCTTTAGACACTCCCAGCTGCTGATAGATGGGTGAAGTAGGATAAATATGAAATCAGATTTATTTTATTGGATGTATATCCTGCCCTCCCTGCAAGCAGGCTCAGGACAGGTCACAACAGTTAACATACAGACATAGTAATAAATCCAATACAAGTACAGAATCACAGAAAGTTAAAATTTCTAAAATCAACAACAGATGACAGAAAATCTAAATTTCCAGTAACCAAGAGTGCTGGGCCTATGTTGACAAAAATAAGGACCAACTCAGCAGATGCCATAGTGATCTCTACAAAGAGCAGTTCATCCAGGCAGTATAGGCAGGGGAAGCCAAACTGTTTAGACGTCTGCCGGCTCAGCCAAAAGCCTGGTGAAACAGCTCTGTTTTACAGGTCCTGAGGAATTGTGTTAAATCCCACAGGGCCCTGATCTCCAGTGGGAGCATGTTCCACCAGGCTGGAGAATGCCCTGGCCCTGGTCGAGGCTAAGCAGACATACTTTGAGCTGGGAACTACCAGCAGATGTTGCTTGGCTGAGCACAAAGCTCTATGGGGCACAGGGGAAGAGGCGGTCCCTCAGATATGTCGGTCCCAGGCCGCATAGGGCTTTAAAGGTTAGTACCATAACTTTGAACTAGATCTGGTATTCAATTGGCAGCCAATGCAACTGGCATAACACCAGATGAATGCGGGCCTGCACAGATGTTGCAGTCAGCAGGCGTACTGCCACATTTTGCACTAGCTGCAGTTTCTAGGTCAGATTCAAGGGCAGCCCCACATAGAGCACATTACATTAATCTAACCTGGAAGTGACCATTGCATGGATCACTGTAGCTAAGTCCTGAGAGGAGAAAGAGGGAACCAACTGCCTGACCGGCCAAAGATGGTAAAAGGCCGATCTGACAGCCAAGTTGACCTGGGCCTCCATGGAAAGTAAGGCATCCAGGACCACCATCAGGCTCTTCACCCTCAGCACCAGCAACAACGGCACCCCGCTAAGAATTGAGAGCCTGATTCCTGATCCTATCCCCCCACAGCTCTGGTACAGAGCCTCTGTCTTTGTTGGATTTAATCTAACCAGATCTGTGTTAGCCACCCAGCCACAGCCCCCAATGCCCTATCCAAGATTTCTGGGGCAGAGTCCAGCCAGCCGTCCATCATCAGATAGAGCTGGATGTCATCAGCGTACTGGTGACAACCCAGCCCAAACCTCTGAACCAGCTGGGTGAGGGGGCACATATAGGTCCTTTTGCTTAAGTCCTTGTACGCTCTGGTCCAATAACATCTCTGGTCGCCATTGCTGGCCTCGGGGCAGCGGGACCTTAAGGAGCTAAAAAGAGCCTCAATCCTCCAGCCGCGGCTTTGGGAGCAGCTCCTTCAGCGCTCCAGGCTAGAAGCTCCCTACAAGAGCTTCGGGGGGGGGGGGCCGAAGGCTTCCGAACCCCCTCCCTGCCACCTTGATCCAAATCACACCCATCAGAGCTCAATGGAGTGCGTTCATTTGTGAGTCGCTGAAAACCGGAAGTCCAGTATTGAAGAACTTCTTAATAACTCCTAATTCAGCAGTACCAGCCTCCATTCATTCAATTAATTAACTTTTTATGTCATCAGTAGCCATCACCACATCATGTGGCAACGTATTTTATAAGTGAATTATGTATCATGTGAAACAGCACTTCTGTCTTGAATTGTCATGGGTCCTGTCTCCGCTGAGACTGAGGCTGAGGCTGAGTATTCCTCAAATGAGGAAAAGGCATGGAGCAACCCAGACTCCTCTGGAGTCAGCCCAGAAGAGGAAACTTTACCAGCACCTGAGGGAGAAAAGGCCCCAGCAGCCGCTCAGGAGGGGCAGCAAGGCAAAGAGACTGAGGTGCAGTCAGAGACTTATCCAGAGCTTGGCCCAGCACCCCCATCTGGAGACACCTCGAAGCCAGAATCCCCACCTAGCTCACCTGATTGTCCCAGATGCAGGGCACACCAGCATCTGAATGTGCAAGAGAGAAGGAGGAGTGCAAGACTTCAGCTGTTGCAAAGGCAATGTGAGGGGCTATGAGTCTTTGCAGACTGACTGCCAGGGAAGGGAGGATCTGGTCATAAACAATCCCGCTCACCTGCCTCGGTGCAGAAGCAACCATGTGTTCTTGGACCTAGTCACGGCTGTCAGCCTCTGCTCCTCTCTCCTGAAAACTCTGATTGATTTCCTGGCTTTCTGACTTTCAGCTCTGTTTCTCGGCTTGCTTTTGGACTGCGTATCCAGCTTTCAGTGAAGGGTATCTGTGGCGACCAGCCAAACCCAGTACAGAAATCTTCTTCCAATCAATTTTACTGGGTGACCCAAAGTTTTAGTAATACACGAGAGACAAAAAAATTCTATGCACTTTTGCCATATTGTACATAATTGGATATACTTTAGCATGTCACTTTTTAAGGATCTTTTATCTAACCTTAAACATTCCAAACCTTCTAATCTTTTCTCTCAGGCAAAGCACTCTACCATTTTGATCATTTTAATTGCTTGTTACTGCACTTTTCAAACTCACTTCGTTTGAGATGAGATTTTCAGAATTATATAGAATTATACAAAGTATTCCAGACATGGCTGCATCATAAAGTTATTACAATATTAGAAGTTTTGTTTTTGAAAGCCATTGTAGAGTAATGGTTAGACTGTCAGATTAGGACCTGGGAGATCCAACGTCAAATCGCCACTCTGCCATGAGGTTTCTTGGGTGACCTTGCTTGTATCCTAACCTATTTCACAGGATTGTTTTAATTAGGATAAATGAGGAGGGAAGAATACTGTATGCTACCCCGAGCTCCTTGGAGGTGTGGTGGGATAAATGGTACTAGATAAATATTTCCAGTCCTTTTCCTAAATCCAAAGTGAAGAATATGTCTTTTCATTGCTTCTTCCTATGGAATGGATGTTTCAGTGAGCTGTCCGCTATGACTCAAAGGTGCTCAAAAGTCTGGCAGGTCTTGACTAAGACAATTGCCATGGCCAGCTAAGCATGAAAAACCTGCAAATGATTTAAGATACCTCCAGAGTAATCCTTGAAACCCTGTTTGATCCTAGATGATGGAATGAGCCCTCCGATTTTCCACTGGAAATAAACCCACAGACAGAATTCAAATAATATAAGAGGAGGGGGCAGCTATTGCTTTTTGTTTCTCTCTCTGTCATGCTAGCAGACAAGAAAGGCTATAGTCCATTGTTTACCAGCCCAAGTATTCTAGATTATGCTATGAAATGTAATTAACCAGTTTGCTGTGTTTATTTCTTTCACATTTCTTTTTGTCTTTGTGTTTTGCCTGAGTCAACTGAATCCAGTCCAGTTAGAACTGAACATTCCAAATTCCACCCAATTTCTCCTTTCATATAAAAATAAACTCCTTTTCTTTTAAATGGAACATGTTGCTACATTTTTAAGCATTCAGCCTGAGCCCATCCACTCAGTTAAAGAAAAGAATGGGTTAATTTCCCATCAGAGGTTTCTTGTTCTTCAGCTCCTCAAAGGACAGGATGAGAAAGATTGCCAATGGTCGGTCAGTCGGGGCTGAACATAAGCAGGGTAGCAGTAGCACCTGTCCCAAATCCCTACTACTGGTGGCAGTAAAAAAATTATTTTCTCTCTCCCCCTCCGAAAGGTGCTTTTTCCCAGCCCTTTCCCCTACAGTCAACCGGAGGTACTCCCACCCCATCACCAACATAGGCAATATCCTAGGGAGGCAACTAGTGGAAGAGCTGAGCATGATACCTGTATGCTTCTGCAAGTCTTGCCAGTATAGACTGATATCTGTTTCTTCCTGGGGGGAGGTGCACACATGCATGCATGTTGGAGGGAATGTTAGAGGTCCTATTGCCAGTTCCTAAAACCCAGAGACATTCCTGGAATACAGCCTGCTGTTTGTGCTTGTATGACAGAGCACTGCATGCATTAAATTTCAGAATGTGTATAACAGAGGGGTTGATGGCTATATCAATAGAGATATAGATAGGAGTTACGATGGAACAGATGTGCAAGCCCCATTCTTTTAGGT